GGGAAACATTTGGGTGTGTGGATACTAAACATAATTACCTCAAGTACTTCACACTACCCAGAGTATTTTATACCTTGGGAATTATGGGAGTTTAGTATAAAGTTCATGCAGGACGTTTAGTAGCGACAGTATGTAAACATAATTCGACAGGATCCAGGGAATGTACAGCGCTTCACACTGAAGATGCTGGGCGCTATGGAGTTTGCATGGGAATGTTATGGAATTGATCCTCGGATGTGACATTCCCGCATATTGTTCTGCCTTTGGATATTTTTCATAGGAGTATCCAGTCAGTATTGAGAGCTTCAGATGTTCCAGCATGTAAGCCCACAGTTGATTCGGAAGGTTCCTAAACTCAGGGTCCTCCTTGTAGACTCCCAAATACTAAGTTGTGGAAACTCCCTTTTCCATTGTTGGCCCTCCATGTGCCTTGCTTCCATGCACACCCAAAATGCCTTAAACTCAGACATCGCCAAAAAATGTTGCAAGAAAAATCGGAAAATCTCCCTAGCCTTGACATTTACATAAGCCTAGGGTCAGGTCGATTTTGGGGGATTGGTCCCTTTTCAGAGGTCCCTGTAAGAAGGACTGACTACAGTATTCTGGCCATGTTAGCATCATCCCCATTCATGGATATTTCGTTTTATGTTGGTATGGGTCAAGAGAACAGTTCAACTGCAACTGTCTGGACTGCTACAATCAGGACAATTTCGGATTGGTGGGGCAACCACTTGCGAAGCCTTGCAAACTGCCTAATGAATCTACGTAGCCCCAAGAACGTGTGTGTTGGCACGCTGTAGACTTGCATTTATGCAAGAGCTCGCGCAAAACAAGTACAGTACACCACAATCATCGGCTCTAGAGAATTTGCAAACTGGTCTCTTAGATGTTCAGAAATGAACGACAAATAGAAACAATATGGATTGGTTGCAAATAATGCTCGAAGGGACCCTCAGAGCTCCCGTGAAAAACGAACACTGGAAAACTGAGAAAGCCACCAAAAACTCCTGTCAGCTTATTGATCTCTGTGCCTGAATGGAAGAAGTGGCTGATCGAAAGGTCTTTCTTGGGCATCTTTTCTCGCTGTTTACAGGTTTGAGGTGGTCGCGGCGGTGCCAGTAGTAATGGCCAGTACCAGCAGTGTAATAATTTAGGAGGACCCCCCACCCAGTAATAGCGACTATAAAGGATAATGGTGATGATATTATGGTCTTCTTATATTCCTACTATACCACTATTACAGGGTGGGGGTCCACCTAAATGATAGCAATCATATGAGCTATAGTCTAAACTACTAGTAACCCCCTTAATAACCCCTATAGTAGTCCCCTATATAATCCCCTACATAACCCCCTTTAAGGAGTTTAGGTTATGGCTCATATGGCAAGCGTAACTGCGACAGCAGGAGGTGTAGCATGGCAGCTTTGATCTGGCTGAGACCCGTCTAAGGCGACTAGAAACTTGGAGATACACATGGGGATTTTCAAGCCAAAATTAGAGGTACTGTTTTGCGGTCTACAATAAGGACTCTAATATTTGGGGGTCTTTATTGGGGTCCCCCTATTTTGGGAAACTACCATATGCATGACACCCAAACTTTCAAGACAAGAAGGTGATTAACATCCCTGTGGGTATGCACCAATTGCCATGGGCAATGTTTCGCGGTGCCGACCCTCCTTCACACGAGACGATTTAACTGTTAAGCCTCTTCCTTGTCACGCGGAGCTAAAAGCTGTATGTAACATGTAGAAGGTATGTCTTGAACAGACATCTTCTTCACTTCCTCATCTATATGCCGACAGCATTTAATGGGAAATTTGGCCTGGAGGGACCCCCTGTGGGCATGGTGAATGCATTGGTTTAAGCCCTGACGAGGCTGCAGTGCTTGCCATGAGGTGCGATGACTAGCAGCTGTGAATTCCATCATTGGCTGCTGCAGAGGCGCTCTATGATCTTTCGGCTTATGATGCAAAAGGTAATGTTGAAGCCCCAGTAAGGGAGGCGAATCTGGTTGTCGCAACCAGGCCAAGAAGCCTAATAGCCTTAACACATATCCCTAGCAAAGCTGACTAGGAGCGAAAGTCCAAGCCTTTCATCCTGAATATGCTCCCCACAAGAAACTCGTAGACATAGCCAAAGACCCTCCGAGCGCGGAGCCTTCGCAGCCCAGCCGCACAACACGATCTTAGCCAGCTCATGTACCAGAAAACGCTTTCGTGACCGGAGGGCTTTAGGTCACACAAGCGACAAGAGGCAGTTGCGCAGACTGGGGCCAGGAGCCATTGATCAACAGAAGCAGAGAGCTTCCCTTATAGCTGGACTGTAGTAATTCTGGGTCACACTTAACGAGCTTCAGACGGCCAAGTAAGAAGCAAGTCGTCATCTCCAGGGTTTAGAGCTGGGGATTTGCATGAGCAGATTTTCTGGGGCTGTACAGCCGAGCAAGACATGCAGCATGGCGCATGGGTCTAGATTTCAACGGGTGCGACACTTGGGCTGACATGGGCGCTTGGACTACATGATCTCACCCATGAAGTCCAAGTCTGCCTTGCACCGGCCCAAAGGGGGAACAGAACGTGCGTGTCTCTGTTATAGCCCAGTTGGGGGTCCTACAGCCGCTGCGCTGCGACCTAAGTTGGCCCAAAACCGCACAACATTCCCTAATTCAAACATCCCAGAATCCCGAAGCCCCTACGTGAAACCTTGAAATCCACCATCCCACATCCCTTGGCTCCGTCACGTCGAGGCTGCGACTCCAGGGGTCGATAATATCGGCTTCGACGAACTCCCCTTGTATCGGAACGTACCAGTGTCCATGAGCCCAAGCATGATCATGATCAACACGAGGCTTTGGGGTGGGTCTTTGGTGACGTGTACTAGGAAACCGGAATCTTCACACAACAGCTACATGGTGTAACTCCATGCATGGAGACCTAAGGAGTGGATGGATAACATAAGGCCCACAAACGGTACAGGAACTGGCTACATCGTAAGGCGAGGGAAATCCTGTGCCTTCGGCCTCTGGGAGTAAAACCCTTTGGAGACCCAAGGTGCGACATGCAGGATGTGAGCTTCAAAGGGATAGGTTTTAAAAAACCTGCGCTCTAGGAAACTGGCCTTTGCTTAGCTGGGAATGAAGTAATGGGAAAGAAAATGGAAACTACTATGATGGGTTATATAGGGACTACTACAAGGATCCATTCCTTCATTCCTAGCTAACCAAAACTAAGGAAAATGTCCCTCAGCCTGCTGACAGTTCATGGGTCTGAGACTTTGGGGATTGGGTGCCCTGCTAATTACCATCTGCAAGTATCTCTACATATACATGTATATATAACTCTACATACAGATATATGTATATACTAATATACATGCATACACCGCAAAAAATAAGTGTATATATATATATATGTAGAAAGAAACACATGTGTGTATATGCCGAACTGCTAGCATGGTACTCAGATTTGACATACCACAATGCTGCACTGTTGCAATCATGTGAACCATAGACCCTACACCCAAACCCTCAACCCCTAAACTCTAAACCCCAAACCCTTTTTGGAGTCTATAGACTATAGCTCATGTGTAGAATCGTAAGCATTCCGAGGTGGCAGCCCAAGTTACCGATGGTCGTCTTCAACAGGAACTGCCAGGAAAGTTTGGGTTTTGAGGGGTGTACATAGGGACACATAGAATTCTAATGGTTCTGGGAGAGTATACATCTACAGGGATACGTAGCGTTTGTAGTTTAGGGTTTAAGCTTTGGAGGTAACTTCAACTTCAATGGCTCTCTGGGTGTTATTCAGGGAAGTACACGGTCTGCAATTAGGAGCTACTTTGCAAGTCAAGGATACCGAATAATTCCTCTCTACGGACCACTGCATACTTCAAATCTTATTATGATGAATCCCAACTCGGGACCCTAGTAGAGGAAGATCCTTGGAAGGAACTAACTTAATGCTACTATATGGCAGCTTCCCTAAATAAAAGGACCCCAATATACACCCCACAATACTATAATCCTTATTATAGGAGCCTCTAAAAAGGGCACCCCCCAATTTTGGGAACCCCCCATATTACTGCACGAAACTCTCCACGCCTGGCCCGTGTCAGGACCAAAGTTCCCGAGCAGACAGAAGGCCACCAAAGGTCCTGTTGCTGCAGCCTTGGTTGCTACAAGTATACTACCCCTTAAGTACATAGAATATGGGGTATATTGTAATACTGGAAAAATGCGGAAACTACTATTTAGGGGTTAGGGTTGAGGGTTTAGGGTATAGTCCCCCTCAAGTAGATAGAATATGGGGTATATGGGGATCCCAAAGCCATATTCTATCTACTTAAGGGGGACTATAGGATTCACACGTTTTGGGTTGTTGTTTGACCTTTTGGGTTTAGGGTTTAGGGCTTGGGGTTCATCATCGTAGGTAGCATTGTAAGACTCATTGAAGTTCCTTCATCAAAAGCTACTGCGCTATCACTCAGTCACGCAAATTGTGAACTACACTACAGCCTAGACTACATTTCTTGCTCTTGCTTTGGTAATTTTAATCTTCCGACTGATCCAGCTACCTTTTTTCAAAGTAAACCGCGGAAAGCTGAGCTCCAGTCCATGTACGCGAAGATGAAGCCCAGGTTCCTGTAGCAGGAATTTGGGGGTTTCCCAAAATTCGGGTACTTTTTTTTTGGGGGGGGGGGTGAGGGGGGGGGGGCTGCCATAAGAAGAATTATAGCATACTCGGGTCTATGTTGGAGTCCCCAAATTTCGGAAACTACCATATGCAGGAACATTCAGGAACACTGGCGGGAAATGGTGGTCACCTTTTGGAATTCTTCTGCCTGTCTTGCGGACATGGACCACATTGGACATGCCCGTCTCGTGGTGAAGCAATAACTGCATGAAACAGATTCAAAGATGCGACAGCCCTTAACACACACGCGCGAGCACAAAACTCATGTACTGCATGCAAAGTGGGCGGGGCATAACTCAGCCAAGCCACATCAGCGTGCGAAAGTACAGCTCAGTTCCTGTACCGCCTTAGTTGCCCAGCTACCAAGTTCAACTAAGGAGGACGAGGAAAAATGGACGGATACTTAGGCTCCCGATTGGTGCCTGTGCTATAGCTCTACAGAACCTTGGTACCGGCACTAGAAGAGTTAGGTCACTAGGGAGGGGGGTACCAGGCTTCCGACTGGTGCCTGTGCTATTGCTTGGAAGCTCTATAGAATTCTCTAGAACACATCACGGCTTAATCTTTGAGACGTTTTGAGACAAGGATACGACAACTGGCAGGATCAACCAGGCTGAATCTTCCTACCACAACTTTGAAGCAGCACCAGCAGAGGCTAGCTAGCATCTGATCTAGGAGCAGAGATGAGTGCTACATGACATTCCTGCCCTATTTCCTGGATTCTGCCCTATTTCTCTGGCACCCAGGAAATGGGTCGCTAGACAGAGCGCCCTAAAGTTAACCCCCCCTTTCCCCCCATTTTAAGGCACCCCCGATTCCACACCCACCTCCCCTTACTCGATATGCTTACAGCTTCCGTCTTGCGCAATCTGCTGAAACTAGTGCTGCAGTCTTCGCAGACCTCGGAAAAGTCAACCATGGGCTGAGGGCAGCGCCGATTTCGCTAAGGCGGTAGGTTGGCGTACACATCGGACTCAACCACTTCTGTTCTGCCCACGCTGCGGGCTCATCCGAGGGTCTATGTATCACTTTAGGAGCTGCTTGTTGGGAAGAAACAGTGCCTGCTCCGGGATTTCTGCGGCTTACAAGGAATCTTCCCAACAGTTCTTCCCTCCCTGCAGGATTTTCATACTTCACCGTTGAGACCTGACTCCTTAGATTGGGACATTGTTTTCTGCATGGAACTGTCACATCGTCCAAATCTGATTGTGAAGGAATTCTAGGAGAGGACAGAATGTCCGCTGTGCTGATGCTGGCCATCTCGTCCCTCAAGATCCCTCTGTGCCTTGTGTGGCGCTTGTCCTCACTAGGTGCGCCTTTGCAGCCTGGCACAGTTCGGGAAGGCTTTAGGCAGCAGACGTAATTACAGCACTCACTCTGTGGCTTCGTGACACTTCCCAAGTCGATTTGGGGGATGCCATGAGTTGCCTGTCAAATTCCTAACGTTGTTGCAACACCTCTTTCAAGACATTGCTCTTCTGTACATATCACCCAAATTGAACCCTGTAATCCTATATCCTAAACCGTAAGCCCTAAATGAAGATGGTCATAGAATTCCTTTTATAACCTTTGCCCCTAAACCCTAAACCCCTAAACCCTAAACCCCTAAACCCCTAAACCCTAAAGCCTTTGTTAGGACTTTAGATTATAGCACATCTGGGACTTCTGGGTGTCCACCTCGATGTTGGGCTCCGGGTCGATGAGCTCACACTCCGTCTGGGGGCAGCAATGCCACAAAGACGCCAATTCAATACATGGGTTTAGGGTTTAGGATTTAGGGCTTTCCCAAATTTAGGGGTACCTTTTTGGGGTTCCTAATATGAAGGATTCTAGTATGTTAGGGTCTACAGTGGGGTTCCCTCTATTTTGGGAAGCTACCTCATAGGCTTTTAGGGGTAGATGCGTATGAGAGGGCATAGGGGTTTAGAGGACTCATGGAGAACAGCAATGAGCAATGACATGGTTTTTGGGCTTATGTAGGGGTAAGACTCTAGGCAAGCGCCCATACCAAAGTGTGAGGACAGCCTTCTATGAGCACAAAGAAATCTTGTTCAACAGCGATGCCCTGGCCCTTGTGCATCTGCATCCAGCAAAGATCCTAGTGTTGTAGGATATGGTAGTTTCCCAAAATAAGGGGACCCGCAGTATAGACCCTAATATACTATAGCCCTCATTAGGGGGGATCCCCAAAAAGGTACCACTAATTTTGGGAAACCCTTGTGAGCCTGAACTTTATTACATCCTATGAAGGAATCATGTGTGAAAGCTGACTTTGGCACTGTAGGAAAGATCCCACCTTGGTGGTCGTGCTCTTCTTCGCGGGGCTATCGCCCTGGCGTATTGCAACTTGTTGTTCATTATGTGGATCATGTCGGGCTTGCTCAAGAGAGTGCCGGGGAAGGGGGGGCTTAAAGAATAGGAGTGTTTCCGTCGTGGCAGGGAACCCCCCAAAGGGGGACCCTCTATCTTGAGAGAAAGTCCCATAAGTTAGGTCACCCACTCATTACCATCATGCTGGACTGTGCACTCAGGAATACAGCCCATCCTTGAAACATATAGGAGTGTTGCCAAATTCCGGTCCACCTTTGCATCAATTTCATGCAGGAGTAATTACTGATGTTGATGATGATGATGATGATGATCATTATGATCTTCTTCACTCGCGAGAGAGTTCGCGCTGCGTTTTTACTCCTTTGGAGATGATGCTGATGATGCCGATGATGATGATGATGATGATGTACCCTAAGCCCTAAACCTTATGGCATATTGTAGTAAGGTTAAACCCTAAACCCTAAGCCCTAAACCCTATAGCATATTGTAGTATGATATATTCTAGTACGTATAGATGATGGGAATCCTCACATTTTGAGCACTGAGGCACTTCAGTGCCTGGCCTCTCCTCCCCAGTGCCGCTGATTGGATTCATCTATACTGGAGATAGGGCTCCCATAAAACCCACGAAGCATGAGTATACTTTTATAGTATATTATAGCATATTAGGGTATAGTATATTATAATATATTATAGCATATTAGCGTATAGTATAGTATGTTCTAGTACTATATGAAGAAACAACTGGAGTTCTCCAGACCCTCCTGCAGAAAACAAACGCATCCTCAGCCGCCGGAGCCTCCTCGTCGTCGGGCACCCTTAGTCGTAATGCTGGTTAGTAAGGAATAAGAGAGTCAAATCCCAATATGATCCCTGTATAGTCTCTTCCTTACTCCCTACTAACCCCAAATTAGTAGTTCGGACAAAGCGTAGGAAGCAGTACGACAGGTTCCGAGGCGTTGCGAAGTGACTTCCTGTGCGATTCTATTTTTGCCAAGATGAAATCATGAAATTTCCCGATTCTAAGTTCACCCAAGTAGTTGGGATCCAAGTTCTACACTCTACCTAGACCCTCCTCCTATCCCCAATTAAGGGTACAGGGAAGGTCCTGGTACATAGCAAACCCTTCACCTACTGAGTTGGGACCCTGTTGCTTTAAGCCACTGTCCTGTATAACATCTCCCACAAGTTGCGCTCGTGCTTGCTGCTCTTACTCAAAATGTGCTATTGCAAGGGTAATATGAATCATGTATGTTGCCATTATTATTGATCATGCCAGTACATCACTGAATTTCATTGAAATGAAAATCCCACGCTGGAAAGACAGATGCTGGGATCCGAGCACATCTGCCACTTTGAAACCTCGCTTGCTGCCGGAGCACCTGGCTCAGTATGGGCCAAGGGTGGGTCCTTGAACACACCTCCATCTGAGATAGGGTTTGCGCTTTAGGAGTCCTGCCACGCAACTCCAGCTGAAACGGGATCCAGAATGCAGGATTTAAGGATTACAGTGGTCCTTGCACACACCTCCCATGTGAGTTTGCATATATCTTGAACACGCAAATTTGGGAAAGCAAGCAGATAGTAATGTAGACCCATGATTAATAGCCCCTCTCCTTTTAAGGGCCTTAATGTTAGGATCCCTATTAACACCACTAATCACGGGAGTGGGTTTACTAATCAGGGGTCTACATTTACATGCGAGACAAGAGCCACCCCACAAAGGACTAAAAGGACTACCAGTCCGTGATTCTAGTTAAGGTTAAATAGGTGTTATATTGGGATAATGGAAAAGAAAATGGAAACTCTATATTGTATAGGGTTGTATAGGGGTTATATGGGGATAATGGATCATAACATGGGAACTACTATATTATACAGGGAAGCGCGTTCTTGTGGCTGCTTGCACTTGGTAGTCTCCCAAGATAGGGTCCCCCTTACACAACCCTCCACACACTATCTTCCTGAATATAAAAGACAGCCTAATATGGTACGCCTAATTTCGGGAAACTGTAGACCCTATACACCCTATATAATCTTATCAACCCTATATAAGCCTTTATAACCCTATTTCACCCTCGTTTAAAGCTACCCCTAATCTTGGTAAACCCCCACTTGGGTCTTGGGAAGGTTCTGAGGCCCGTGCCATCGGAACGGAATGGTGATACCCAGCGTCAGCGTCAGACCATAGATGACAGAGTACGTCCAAACGCGGGCCTCACCCAGGTCCAGACACATGGGTTATTTGCAAAATTATGGACCCCCCCCCAGCGCCCAACATTTGGGTCCCTTGCTTGTAGAGCTAGTTGTCGTTGCGTGGTAGTTTGCCTACATAGGGAGACCGCAATATGGGGGCGCCCAACAAGGTCCCCGTAATTTTGGGAAACCCTATACCCTATAAGCCCCTATATAATCCTAGTTTCCATTTCATTTTCCATTTGATTCTCCATTCTTGGTCCTTTCATTTGCTCTTCCTGCTGCTCTGCACGTTGCTGCGATGATGTTCACGCGCACATGAAGTGGCCGTGACAGGAACTATAACTGTAACTGATACCGTGGCATGCCCTCCTACGGTACAGAAGTGGCTGCCATGGCCTGTGTCCTGGCAGTTACTTGACTTTAGAATCCATGCCAGGTTATAGGGGTATAAGGGTTATATAAGGGTTATATAGGGGTTATATAGGGATAATGGAAAAGAAAATGGAAACTACTATACAGCGTCTTCATGATTGGTGATAGGATGTCTGGCGAGGGGCCAAATGTCAGTGAGCTTTCAGGCTTAGGGCTGCAAGTGGCTTCGAAATCTCAACCGTATATACTGTAGTACTTTCCATTTTTCCTTTCCATTATCCCAATATAACCCCTATATAAAGAATCCTATATAATGCAATAGTTTCCATTATCCCAGCTTAACAACTGCTCCGAAATTGGTGGACAAATATCCTAGCAGTTGGCTCGAAGTTCCAAGCCTTAGGCCATGGCCAAACCGATTGGAGCTATATTGGGATAATGGAAAATGATATGGAAGCTAAAATACTATATTGGAATTATTTAGGGGTTATATAGGGGTTGTATGGGGATTGCAAACCCTAAGCCCTAAATTTCAAGCTTCTGGGTCATCAGTAATTACATCTTGGAGGAATCACCAAGGATGAGACTGTAGAACCATCCATATAGTAGCACTCAAATGAGCTATAATCTAAACTCCCAGTATCCCTCAATAACTCCTATAATACTCCCATATATAGTTGCCTATGTACATCCTGCAAGGTCTTTGGACTGTAGCTCATATGTGGCTGCACACAAGCTTTACCAGTCCTTCATTCTGGCCCTGCACAGCCAGAAAGCTTAGCTTGCGGCAAACTGGGTGTTGCCGCCAAAGTCCAGTTCAGCACAGCCCGCCTCTGCAACGCGACGGCATCGGATTTCTTCAAGGTCTGCTTCCAGAGCATGCGGATACATGTTGCCCTGGGAGGCTACGAGGAACACCTACTTGGAGCTTCAGGGTAAGGGATGAGTGCTGGAATCTAAGCATGTCGACATATTCTTCTTGTTTGGAAGTCCACATTTTCTTGGCAGAGCGGCCCTTTTCCTTTTGTTGGAGGAGCGCATTGGGTGATCGCTCACTTCGTTTATCATGATGGGCTTCCAGGGACCTCAATGCCGCAATGCCTTGAAAGAAACAACAGTCTCCGCCTTCCGCAAGGACCCAGAATGAAGGAAAAGAGACAGCGTCCTAGTTCCATCTTTCAACTTCTTGTCCTCAACTGTAACACGAATAGGTTAAGGGCTTCAGTCGAGATCCGAAAGCTTGCACATCACTGACGGCGGGATGAGGAGGGTTCTACAAATGGGGGCCAAGGATGGATCCAAAACAGAACATACCATAATCCTCATGATAGGGACTCCCAAACAAAGGGGCCACGCTAATTTCTGGCAGCCCCATTATGGCTTTGGGGAAGGTGAGGCATTTGCTGTCTGGGTCTCGGATCCGCACCTTCTCGGCCCAGTAGCGCAAGGCAACCTGCGCATCACAACGCACTTGAAATTCAGTTGCAGTAGAGTCCCTGAAACAGGTCCCAAAATCCCCCAGTGATCCCCATGCCCTAAACCCAAAAACAGATGCCCATAATCTCTCAGTGATCCCCAATTATCCTACGCCACCCCAGAGCCAATTGAGACTAGAACATCTGCACGGGCCTCAGTGCCTGATACCTTGTATTCTAGTATACTAAGGTCATGCAGGTTTTCCCAGTATCGATAGTAGGCCAGGCTCAACGAGATCTTTTCCTATCAGAAGGTTATCTCACGGTACCCTTCTCCGATCCGAGCCCGGGGATCAAAGCTGCATGCAGGCCGCGCGCCTGCCAAGAGGACATCGCACCTGCGAGTTCTGAAGTTTTGGAGCTGGAGCACGTAGGGTTATGTAGGGATAATGGAAAAAAGGATGGATATGACTACATTACTAGTACGGTATATGTTGGGGCTATAGTAGGGAATGAGGGAAGATATTCTGAGCCTATGCAGTGTTTCATCCACCGAGGGGAGGATCAGAGTTCTAGCCTGCATGTACAAACTAACAACCTAAGTCTCAGCAACCGCGTGCATGGGGCTCTAAGCACATGTGCTACTTGCTACAAAGTACCAACAAATAGAGTTGCTGAATCCGAGGATACCCAGAAACTCGCCCCCAAACTTGGGCTGTCAGGGCGCTTTGTAGCAAAATGCATCGCCATAAACCCTAAACCCCCGATTCTAAAAGTTTTGAGGTACGGGGCCGCTCAGCAAGTACCCAACTCAGGAGATGGTTGTGGAGTATCCAAACGGCATATAGGGGTTCCAGATATCTGGGCTCCCTTCTCAGGAGGCTCCCATATCAAAGAACGTCAAAGATCTAGTATATGGGGACTATATGGCGTTCCTTGACATGCCATGCTCATCAGCCAGGCCACCGAAGGTAACTTGGACCCTGTTCTAGGCATTGTTAACTTCTCAGCTTAACGGGGAAGAGTTTAGGGCTTATAGGGTTAAGGTTTAGAGCGGTTTCACTTCATGCATGGCTGACATGTTTGGACGGGTCAAACTGTTGTAGGCACAGTACGGGCTCACAACTACCTCCTTTGATCAGCAGATAAGGCCCCGCCAAAAACAATCCGATAGCATATAAGATTGAAGACCCCACAGCCATAACCTGATTAGGGCAGGTGTGCTACCAAACACGAGTGTTATCCATACTACCAACTATAGGGATATAGACTATAACTCCTGATTATGACCAGAGCTTGAGTTTCCCTCCGAAATTGGACCCACTGATTATCCCAGAGCCTATACCTCTATGCAACCCTACAGAAATCCTATATACCCCTACACAACCCCATATAATTGGATTGTAATTACCTTGAATCTCCAAGCTTATACCCGCCTTGTCAGCTGGGATTCCTGGAGCCTGGCCAGCGTGGGGTTTGGTCAACATACGGTGGATACTAGAATCCTGCATGACCCTAAGTACCCTAAACCTTGTGGGATTCATGGTGCAATAGTATACTAAGGCACGCAGGAGCTTTAATATCAACAGTAGGGATAACGTTTTTTTTCTGGTAGAGGGGATGATTCCGGGGTCTCGACTTTAGGATTGGGCCTCACAACAGGGATACTGTTGGGGGGTTCTCAAAGTTTGGAGTTAGAGGGTTTACTGGGTTGCTGTTAAGGAACTTAATTTAAGTTACTATATTGGGGAAACCCTATTTATTATTTCCTACATATTCCCATTATGGTAACTTAATTTAAGTTCCTTAACAGCAACCCAGTTTATGGTAAGGGGCATCGAGGTCGAAGTCTTCTGGACTTCTTCATCAGGAGAACCCGATACCCTGAAGAGACCCACCCCACTTAAGAGGATGATAACTGTAGAGTCCTTCTGAATCTTGAGGCACTGAATGTTTGGTCATTAAATGCGCGGTTGTAACATACTTGAAGAAGGAATGTTGTAGTCTTGGGCCATTGTCTCGATGAAATATTCAGGCCTCCACGTTAAGCACAAGCCCCAGGAACGCCAAACCAATAACATCCTAACCCTGCTTCAGCCCACGCGCCCTCTTGGTTCTGGTGCATTCCGGAAGAACTCCATTATATGAGCTACAGCCCATATCACATCTCCAATACAGGCAATGGACACGGGATCCTATTAGGGACCATACTAAACTACCAAAAGGAACCCTATGTCCATCCTTTATGGTCGGTTAAGCCAACCTTGACCATACCCCTACATATCCCCAAGCTCAGTTCCGATTTCATTCTCCATGTTCTTTTTCATCTGACTCTCCATTATATAGTCTTTTCCAACCTTAAACCTCAGCAGCAGTTTGGCCTCAGAAGGGGTGGATCAGTATCGGTGCATGGCCAAGCAATGACACAAAGTCGGCACTTCTGGCACGTTGGGGGCCTGGGTGGGGGGGGCTGTGAGGGGCTAAGTCATGAGGTAGCTGCGCCTGCTTGATGATTATGATATCTGCAGACTAGCGGAATCCATAGGCGATTGCATAGCTCGCGCTCCATGACATATCTACTTACTTTCCAAGCCAGATGGGCCACATTGCGATGGTGGGCAGCAAGTGGCACAACAAACAACACAATCTTGATCACAAGGCTGGCAACGTAGCTCAATTTGCAAGGTCCAGCGTGCAATTACGGTAGTCAGGCCTTGACGGCAGAGTTCCATGTTGCAGGACTCGTGACTCATCACGAAACTCACGCAAAACAATGTGCGAGTAGCCAGCATTGAGCCACACAACTTAAATTTCAGGAGCTCAGTCCAAACCGAACCCAAAGCAGCAGCGAGCCACCAAGGATTTGGCTAGATTTGGACATGAGCTCTGGACCGAATTTGTCGCATTTCCCTTAACAAGTCCCCCCTAAAACCTACATATTCCCCCTATATGTCCCCCCAACCTAAACTTAGTCCGTAGCTCACATGAGTCCATTGCAGGCCCCTCAGGTCCCCAGCAGCTTCACCTCAGGATGCTGGGGTTCTCAATAGCCCAGTGGAAGAAACAGGGCTCCCAGTTTGGAATCGGGCTATATACAAGACAGGAGCCTAAGACCTCCAAAATTTACTGGCTTTTAGTAGGGTAGATGGGAATATCATATAATCCCAATATACTCCCTAGATAACGTATTCCCATATTCCCTACTACAAACCAGTAAGAAAAACAGAAGTGGCTTGATTGGGCAACCCATAATGATCTGCTCTAGCCAGAGCCAGGCCCATTTTGCAGACCCCGGGGTCTAAGGCGGTGTAGGGTTCAGGGTTTGAGATTTAGGGTTTCGGGGCTAAGGGTAGCAATGGATTTGGGAACCTACTTATTACTTATACATGGTTACAGTGGGGCTACTCTGGCCAATCAAACTTACTGGTGGTGACTGGGGAGTGAGGGAATGGATCCCTGTAGGGCTTAGGGTATATAGGGCATAATATTAATTCCTAAGATACACTCCCTCCTCACCACTAGTAATCATACTCAGCCTAGGAACTGGCTGAGCTGGCCCACCTATAAGGTCCTGGCGCTGGTCCAGGATGGAATGATCGCCTGAGCAGGGGGAAAAGCGTACACTTCCGGGTCTTCCTTTATCGTCCCCCTTAAGTAGATAGCATATGGCTTTGGGTACATTAAAATAAATTTCCCATATACCCCATATTCTATCTACTTAAGGGGGACTGTAACATGGCAACTATCCGTTCCTCATCTTGCCTGCGGCCTTGCTCCTGAAATGTAGAGGCCGCTCTCTGGCAGCAAGTTAGTCAGAAGGCATCTTAGGAAAGCCAAGCCTACGACAGGTGACTTGCCATGCTAGGATGACTAGACAAAACAATTGTGTGCACAAAAGTCTGGAACACTCCAGAAATACCTGCGATGTCCTACTGCCTTCCTGAACGGCCTAAGCACCTGGCGCTTGCGAAGATCATGGAGGGTGGATCGCGGCAAGGCTTGGCCAGACCCAGACGGGCTCATCAAGTTCAAGTCCTGATCATGTCCACAATGCTGGTTCTTGTTTCGGGGCTATCTTGAGTTTCGCCGATGCAACCCTGCATCCGTTGAAGCCCTGAAGCTCCTTGTTTCTCCGCAGCAGTCAACTTTGCCTGACAGACCGCATCATTGAAAACTTCCAGTTCTAGTCCACACACTGGTCAGCGTTGTATATTGGGATAATGGAAAATGAAATGGAAATTACTGTATCATATAGGGTATTGCAGGGTCACATAGGGGTAATAATATAGGGTTTAATGAATGGTCTGCATCTCACCTAGACTCTTTCTCTCCCGCGGGAACATGACGGCCACATAGTTTTCGCATGCAGCTGTATTACAAGCTGCGCGAAGATTCTTGCCTCTGCGCGCGGGAACTTGCTGAAACTATAATGTACTATAGTGGCCTGGTTTAAATGTGGACGAACACATCCTGAGGACAAATTGCAGTACTCCTGGCTGCAAGATAAGCCCGGGTAAGCACCTCTCATCTCTCAGGATCGCTGCAACACTATCCGTCTATTACATAATAGTCTTCGTGTTGCTATTAGGCCTCTCGGGATGTGGACCGATCACCCAGACCTGGGTCAAAACAGCACTTTGGCTGTTGGGCAAAATCCGGCAGGCGCCTCTGGGCCGTGGCGCTGGATATGTGCATGTCTTCTACTGGAGTCTTCTTGCAGGCGGTTCCGTTTGCTCGGGAATTTCACAAGGCTCAGGGGAGTCTCGGCAAGTCTCCTTTCTTTTTTCGTCGTCTCTTGCCCACTTCTCGTAGCGCAGGTCGTAGTCGTCCCGCGGGATGGCCAGCCACTGCTGGTTTGGGTACTTGTTGTTCAAGCATGTCCACATGTGGACACTGTCTTCGGGTGGGGGACTATCCATGCAAATGCCCGCCCGGTTCTTGATCTTTCCCGTGCTCTTATCCCAATCCCACTGCTGGTTATCTTGGGCCACAAAGCAGTCCCACATGTGAACCTCTCCGCCGTTCTTGCTCCTTTCTTTAGCATCCTTGGCTTGGCAATGACAGTTCAAGGCTGCGTCTTCAAACATGTACACCAGGCCAGCATAGGCCAGCAAGGTCAATTAGAACTACGACTAATGCACCAAAGTACAGTAGTTGAACCCATAGCCCCCCACACCAGCTAAAACAAAATGCTGACAGCCAAGGATCCAGGCATTTGCTCGAGTTGTGGTTCATCAGTAGACCCGTGGTGCTGTAGTACACCTCGCATGCAAGGAATTCGCGAAGGTCCAGAAATTCGGGAAGGTACGAGCGGTTGCCTGGGAAACTCCACGGTTTTTTATGATATCTCATCGGACATGTTTCCAGTTGTACCGCGGTACACTTTTATGAGACCCATCTTTTTTGACAGTGTTGAGGCCTTGTTGGAAAAACCATGTTTTTGTGGGAGCTGGCGGGGTCATCACACCATTGGGCAGGCCTTGGCAAAAATGACAATGACTTCTGACATTTGGTAGTACGAGTGGTTGCAGTAGCGGTATCCACAGCAATAGCAGTCATAGCAGATCAACATGGTTGCTGTTAAGGATTTTAATCTAAGTTACTATATTGGGAAACCCTATTATTAACTGTTTATGCGCATTAACTTAATTTAATTGCCTTAACAGCAGCCCTGTCAAATCCCACCCTTGTAGTCTTGCAGTGGAGGCCTACATCTAGTACGGCTTGGAAGACTACAAGGGCAGGATTTGATTAACTTACGTGTGGTTAGTGGGGAATACGGGAATATATTAGTTATTTGTATTCTTGTAGGGATTATGTGCACTTATTCCGTACTAACAACCAGCAAGTTCGTTGAGGCCAGGGGAGGAGTCCAGTCTGGCAAAATTTAATCAAATGCCACTCCTGGACTGCTGCCCAATCTCGTGCTTATCGCGCTGCTGGGCTGCTACCTTGGCCCTAGGCAAATTCCGCCCTTCCAAATTAATCAAATCCCGCTGCCCTGCCAGAAATAATCAAATCTCGCTCCTGGACTCCTCCCCTAGCCTTAGTTGTCCCTAGCCCCACTTCATTAAATCCCGCCCTTAGTAGTCTTCAAAGCCCGGCCCAATTCAGTTTAATCCCGCTACTTGGCTCCCTCCCAGAAGCGGGATTTGATTCATTGGGCCGGGCTTGGAAAACTACACGAGCGCGACTCAAATACCATGAATGTACAATGCTTGCAACACTAGAAAATCGGGATTTGATACAGTTGCGAATTGGGGCTAAGAGAGGGGTCCAGCGACGGGATTTGACTAAATTGGGAACTGGGCAGGGTATGGCAGAATCTTGAGGAGTGCATGGAAGACTGCAAGGGTGGGCTGTGCTCAAATGGGTCTGGGGGAGGAGTCCAGCAGCGCGATTTGATGCAATGGGGGGAGGGAAGTAGTCAAACAGCGGATTCCATCAAATTGGGCAGAGCCTGCAAGACTACAATGCGGGATGTAATGAGGAGTCCCAGAGCGGCACTTGATTAATCTGGTAATTTGTCAAGGCCGGCCCTGGGAAGCCGTTGAAATCAGAGGACACCTACGCTCGAGTTGCAGTTCGCATTCTAAGGATGCTACACTCGACAGGTCGATTTGTAGCTGGAAATGTCAGGACACTCAAAGATCTATGGACCAGCTAGCAGATGATTGTGTTAACGATGGCATGCAGAGCTCTCGAATGGTTGTAAGTGGGGTGAAGTACAGCATCTGGAACTGCTTTCGAAGCTTGCGGATGTCGAAGTTCGCAGACACCCTACAGGCCCTAGAGTTCTACATAATCTTTTTGGTTTTAGGGGGCGGGGCTATTTGGCTTAGCTGGCTTCATTTAGGGCGCTTGACTTTAGCGGGGAAGGGCGGATAGGCAGCAGAATTGATCAAACTGGGCAGGGGCAAGGGCAGGATTTGAAGAAATTTAGCAGCTGGGCTTGGAGGAGTCACGCAGCGGGATTTGATTAAGTTGGAACCAGGATGCAAGTATAATTCAAAAACCAAATGAAACATATTGTCTCCCCTTTCATGACGCAAGTGCTGCCTATAGTGCATGCAAGTGCGTATCTAAACATCGCAGTTACGGCGCCAAAGGTGGGCGCGGTAGCAACATTTGCGCGGACGCTGGATTGAAGGTTTTCGCGTGCTTACAAACTGTGGTCTTGTGGCTGCAGCGGGCGAGGGCTATTTCATCGAATATCCAACTGCTGGACGCCTCCCCGGCCCCATTTAATTGAATCTTGCCGTGAGCTTTCCAGCCTTGGATTCTTCGCACAGTCATCATGCGTCAGGTCCCCGCGTAGTTGCACAACAATTTGATCAGATCCCGTTGTTGGACTCCAACATAGCCCCTTGTAATCAAATCGCGCCCCGATAGTGTCCCTTTATGACCCTTCTCTTCTTGTTTATTAGATTATTAGATACCATGACTCTGATTTTGAAACTATTGTTTTTTCAAACTAGTATGACTACTACTGCATGACTACGTAATGTTAGTGTCATTGCTATTTCATGTTACAGTACACCCCCGGCATCCCAAAAACTCAACAGAAGAAGCCTTTCATTTCAACAAAAGCTGAACCTGAGGTGGAATTCCGAAATGCGCTTGGCACCCAAAAGAATGGGCAACCAACAAGTTGCTGAAACAAGCACAGCGCACCCAGAGCTGCCTCTTGTTGTCGGGATCGCAATCCTGGCAGGCCGTATGAGATCACTCTTCATGCCCGAACCTTTTGATGCAACAGCAAAGAAACACTGTGTAATCTTAATCTTTTCAGGATTGCAGCAGTTGCTGCGCAGCTAATGTCCCCACCTCCAGCGAAAGCGCCGCACCATTCCCCGATCCAGTTGGTTGTCTCGCTGCCGTCAAGCATTTTTTCTTGGCCTTGCTCTTCACAACGATGTAATTCTTGGGCGCACCTTCGGTGTGACAGCACGACACCCCAGCCCTGCCATTACACCTTTTCCAAGAAGCCTGTCCCGGGCATCTCTGAATGAATGGACCTGGTGGGTCCTTGTGTGTCCGAGCATGTTGCTGGCGTGCTCTACATGCGCCTGCATTGCTACATCTTCGATAATATTGTTTGTTGTATGTCGTAGCTGTTGCCAGCGGCAGGCAAATTGCAAAGCACCATGCGCTTGCGTTGAGGCCAAAAACAGATTCTGAGAACACTCGAGCGTGCAAGAGCAAGATGCCGGACGGCCCTTGCAGAGAACAAAAGAAAGACAGACAGAGAGGGAGAGAGAGAGAGAGAGAGAGAGCGAGAGAACACAAAAAGAGAGGGATATATAGATATTGAGATCGTGTGCGCGCATGTTTCAGAAAGGAAGACCCCACGGGTGTGATTGACCTTGGTTTCACAGTGTGCAATGTTTTTTTTTCGAGCGCGGCGCAACAAAAAATCGGGACCGCAGAAGGCGCTCTCATTTGCTTGCGATGTCATGGGGAGATGTCCCTATGACATACCTAATTATAAGTGTTCTCATTTATCTACACATATTTACGCTGTGCATTGTTGGCTGTGGTCACACTAGTGCATGGTAATCTCAACTATTCTGGAATGATCGAAGACGTGATGCTGAAGGAAAAAGAAAGTCGGTTGCAGTATAGGCGGCCTCAGAAGAAAGCTTGCAGTAACTGCAGTAAGCCTTTGGCAGCAAGTGGCATTGTTGACAAAATCTTGAGAAGTGATTCTGACATACTGGCTCAGCAAAGCAGCTGGGGGCACGATCTCGCTCATCGCATTGCAGCAACTCTTCTTGAGCCCATGTCAACCACTTTTCCGGGACCTCGGCCTTGCAGGACTTGGAGGTGCACTTCAGGTCAACGCCGTCGACGATCTTAAGGAACGACCACTCATCAAGGCCGGCTAGATCGTTAGCCTTTGGCATGTCACGTACCCTCCAGTACATGTACATGGGGAATCTTGCTTCCCGATCTCTGTACTTGCAGAAGGTATCATGATTGGCAGACATCAAGATCGCGCAGCACGTTTGTTGGAGCTCCTTGGGGTTTTTCGTTATTTTCTCGATCATCTCTTGAGTTGGCGTATCACCAGCAGGCAAGGGATCAAGACTAAAGACTCCGGCAACGAACGCATCATCAGGCCACCGAGAACGACCTGCCCATGGTTTCTCGTTCTCCTGGGCTGCTGTTGAGGAACTTGTTTTAAGTTTATTCACTTTTTATACATGTATATCTATATATATATATATACATACCCATTATCATGACTTTATTAAAGTTTCTTAGCAGGAACCCAGTCTCCGGAAGCCAGAGATTTCTCTCAGTTCCGTTGTTCCTGTGGTCTGCTTTCAGATCTCCAGGCCTGGCTGTCTTGAGCTCTCCAACGACGGCACGCAGCTCTGCATGTTGCCTCCACGTCTGGTCCTGTGTCATTCTTGGTCCTTCAGTCCAAACGGGCCTCAAGTCTCCATCCAGATGGCACATCTTCTCTTTCTCGGGTACATCTGTCTGCTCGAATCTCGTGAAGTTCGGGCACAACGCTGCGTCTTGGGCGCAGGCTAATCGCTTCCTGAATGCATCATCCAAAGTAGCCCGCAGCCGTCTATTGAACTCTTTGAAGCTGCTGAACTTTGGATTCTTCAAGCCTTGGGCTCCGCAGCTCCAAACATCCATCCATTCAAGGTTCCCGGCGCCAGCTGGCACATTCTTCCACCATGTCCATGTATCGGCAAGTAATCCCCAGCCGCCATTCTTTGTAAGAAGCTCTTGGGAAAGTGATGGATGAATAGGGGTGAACCACATGATTGGGCGCTGTTTATCGGCGCACTTTTGGTCACAAGTCCAAAACGGCTTCATTTTCTGCATGGTCGCCATGAGACGCATTTGATAGAAAGCCTGGATAATTGGGTCGGCCTGGTCCTTAACAGGCTTGCCTGAGGCAGTGCGCGGCAACGCCGGCGTCGCATTCGTGCTCTCTGGGCCCTCAGGCACCTTAGTCTTATAGGCGCACACCAACAGTAAACCTGGAAGCGCTTGAAGGGTTCGGGAATTTCAAGAGATCATAGTAGTTTCCATTTATCCGAAATATAACCAAAATATAACCCCTATATAACCTGTAGTCTCCATGTTCTTTCCCATTATCCCAAAAGAACCCCAAATCTGACCCTATGTGGGAGTTTCCCAAAACAAGGGGACCTTAATACAGACCCCAAAATATTGCAGTCCTTATTTAAGGGGCCCCCAAAAAGGTACCCCTAATTTTGGGAAACCTCCATGTTTCATCAACTTCACCTTGGGGGCGGCTACATGCTCGCTGGCAGTCTCTTCAGTGTCCTCGTCTTGGCCTTCACCCTCAAGGAAGGCACCTCGGGGGGTGGCAGTGCTGGGTTGCTGTTAAGGAACCTAAATCAAGATACCATGATGGGTATGTATATATAGTACATAACTGGATTTCCCCCAATATAGTAACGCAAAGTAAGTTCCTTAAATCCCGATGTTCCCCCTGCTTCCATTTCATTTTCCATCGTCTTTTCCATGGGATTCTGAATTATAGGGGGATAATATAATAACGTAAATTAAGTTCCTTAACAGCAACCCAGGGTACCCAGGGCATGTTTGGAAGAAGCCCCAACGGCAGCGTCCGCCGTTGCAACGTCCAAAGCCTCAGGGAAAAATCGTCATTTTGCGCTTAGGGTTTAGCGATTATATTGGAATGGGGATAATGGAAAAGAAAATGGATACTACTATACAGGAGTCCTATAGGGGTATAATATATGGACAATGCTTGCCCTTGTGGGTTGCAGAGTTGATATACTTTCAGCTGCGAACCGGGCAAACCCTTGCAGGCCTAAAAACCCATCTGTAGCCTCCTTAGACCTACAATATTTGTTTTTAAATATTCCTTAGGGTTATACTATGTTAAAAAAAAAAAAAAACTAAGGACACTACAGCCATTCCATTCGGGCCTCAGCATCCGGATGGCCCAGGTCCCATGCCTTTCCTCTTTTTTGCAGCAGCTCCAAGACTGTCTCCTCGCTTTCGCCCTCTTCCTGTACAAGATTCGGAGGCCAGCAGTCCAGAAATCTGTATATATATATATATGCATATCTATATATATATATATACCAGGGGATCCACATAGTAGCCCAATGTATTACCCTAATAATGGAGAATCAAGTGAACAAGCAAATCGAAAATGAAATGGAAACTAGGATTTTGTATATACTTGAATCCTGAGGGCAAGACATGCCCAAGCAGCCAACCATAAATTGTAGCAGTTTCCGCTTGATTCTCCATTGTTGGTATCATTTCCCTATCCAAAGCAGCCCGCAGCCCGCTCCTGCATGGCGGCAGCCACCATCTGTTCCGCAGCTGTACTGGGTGTACCATCGTCGCCCAGCACGCCGAGGGCCAAGTGGCCAAGGAACAGCGGCACCACGCTCCACATGTCTGCAAGCAAAGACTGCGAAGCCGTAAGGGAAAAACCCGAAAGAGACTTTAAGCCCGGCAAGCGAGAATGGGACAGGTGTGCTATTGCGGTCCTCGCTGATTCTCAAGTGATTTCTCATGTGGGGATTTTATTGTCTGATCTCGTACTAAACACCAGTAAGAAGAGGAGGCAGTTCAGGCATTTTGCTCATGCTCTCCTAGGCGGCTACTCTGAAGGACGGCCTCTTCGTTGAGAACAGTGCTTACAAAGCTACGCATCCCCCAGGCCTCTCAGGCCTGCAGCAGTCATCTAGTCGCAAATCACCGTCATAGACCTCATGGCCGCATGAAGGGGGAGCTTTCCAGATTGGAAACCAGGACGCGTACTTCAGAAGGACCCCTTTTCAAGTCCTTGCCAAATCACCAGCATTCATGGAATTTGTGGGCGACCTGGCTAGAGGACGACTGTCGGTTGAGTTTCGGCGTTGCACATGCCAGCGTTTGTTGCTTTGAATGCTGAAGTCAAAACGACCCTTGCCACTGCCAAAGTACGTCATAGGTGAACAAGAACACCCTCATTTGGCAGCATGTCTAAAACCGTCAATCAGTCCTGCAAGCCCTAAATCCTAAACCCTAAGTAGTATTCCATTTTGTTTTCCATCATCCCGATATAACCCCAACATACCCCTAAACCCTATACCCTTAGGCCCTGACCATCACACATCTTCGGAAGTCATCCCGAAGGTCTGATGAAGCCTGGATGGCCTGCCGTGTTGCCATGAAGTCAACTCTTTGTAGATGCAATTTGCGCAGCACTGAAACGTATCAGAGGGGTTTCTGGGCCAGGCTTGTAGCCGCTTTAATTACTTGAGGCCCCTGTGCTTGATATCTCATGCTTTGTGCTTCAGCTCTGCCGGGTTGGGGTCGAGGTTTTGGATGTTACAAACAAGGCCAGGCCATGCGCGGCTTCTAACAGTCCATCAGCTGCTGCGCCTGGAGTGCAGTCCTGGCTCAGCAAGTGGTTGTCACGCAAGCTAAAGGGGGGAGGAGCAAGCCGTGACAGCTGGATGCGTGCACCAGTGCATATCCCTGCCCTTGATGCGAAAAGTCCCCAAAAGCAGAACACTTGTTCCTGCCATGCTGGTTCACACACCTAGCGCAGCGGAAGTCTATAGTAGCAGCGAGATTCTTGCTACTGCGGCTGCCGGAGTAAGAGTAACTGGCATTCTTCCATGTTCTTCAGCCTTTTACTCCCGAGCATACGGATACCAGCAACCATTGCGATAATGTCGTCAAATGGCCGCGTGAGCTTGACACTAGTCTTTGGAATGTGCTATTCCATACGCTGCCCATACTGCCCAATACCACATGCTCGGAGGCAAATGAATCAAGGCCCCTTTGGCGCGAGTGTCCAGTCTTTTGAGATTTCCAAAAAGCCCCAACAACAGTGCCAACACCCCTCGCATGCTCCTGGTCATAGCCAGGAGCGCATTTGCTTCCTTCCTCGTTCCTTCCAAGATCCATCCTGTTCAAAGGATATATCTTGCTTTTCACAACACCTTTATCCTGCCTTAAGCGGTGCAGAAGAAGTGCAAGGAGTGGGTGAAAATCAAAATCCTCCCCAAGACACAGGGGGACGGGAGGCGGGCGCGTCCTGGTAACTCATCATCAGAAGTGGCTCAGCTTTCAGAGAAAGCTTGACACCACGTCCCGCCTCATCCCGAATTCTCTGTGCAGCTGCCATAACTTTGTTCTGAAAGTAGTGTAGGGGCCTAGAAATCACCAATGTCATTTCAAGGTCTGCTGGAGGTATCCTGTACCTTAATTATACAAGGAATCTAGGAGCACGATGCTGGTAATGCTTTAGGATGCTGTAGGCACCATTACGTGGTACACACCTGCGTGGCCATGCTTAGCTGAAGACCGTCGCAGTTCGTGTCCAGCAGCCGCTGACCTCAGAGACACATGCCTACGTAAGTTCCAAATTGAGGCTCCTGGTTGATAATGGCTGAACGAAATGAGGCTAGAAGCTGCACTGATCACATAGCACAATAATGACGATGAGGAGGATGAGGATGCGTCTGAATGCTGATGATGATGAAAACGATGATCCAGGCACTTGCTGGTAGTGCTAGATAGTGTCAGCAGGAGCAACAGCAGCAGCAGCAGCAGCAGCAGCAGCAGCAGCAGCAGCTCCCCGACCCACATCCCACCTTCCTTCCTTCGGGAAGGAGGGGGGATGCATGGATGTCACAAAGGTCAGTCCATCGCCAGCCTGAACGACACAAAGCACACCTGCGCCTCCTCCCCCACATCCCCCCCTGCTTGCTTTGGGAAGGAGAATGGCCTGTGACCATGTCGAGCCTGCGTTGCTGATTCCCAGGCATCGCCGGTCACGCAATGACCATGTTTCATTCACTTTAGGAACGGGAGGCGTGGTCACATTTCGCAGAGTTTACAAATAAGTCAGCGCAAATCAAGTCACATTCTCAGCACAGCCAGCCTGGCTAGAGCACCTTTAAAACACCACCTCAAAGTTTGATATCAGGCTCGCAGATAGATGGCACCTACTTTTGGGCCTCAGGTCGACAAAGAATGCCTGCTTGCAGCCCCAAGGTCAGGGCTAACAAGAGTTTAGGAACTGGTTGCAAAATGGTGATATCCGACTATGCTGGAGTTGCTTGCAAGTCCTCATGTTGTGGTGACCATGTCCTCGTTGCATCAGGTCCATCCATCCAGGCAAGTATCCAAGTCATTTTTAGAATTTATATGGGGATTGTTTGGAGAAACTCACAATTGAGACTTGTATGCCACTTTGAGGTCCAAGCACTGCACCTTCTCTGCAAAGTATCGCAAGGCAACCTCCGCATCACGACGCAATTGCAAAGTGTTTTTGATACCCTTCTTCTGTAACATACTACGGAATGTCATGCTGCTCTTTAGCAGGGCCATAGTTTCCTGTCTCAGAATCTACTCAACTGAAATTCAATGGTAGCAGGCTCCACATCGAACATGCCGGCTGAAGCAATGAGCGAAGTAGAAGCAAGATCCCTGTCGAAAGAGGTGATCCCTACCTCGTGAGGAGTCAGCAGGTGAAGGCTATCTCAGACCCTAGACCCTTAACCTAAAAATTCAGACAGGTATAAGAGCTTTCGAAGCCCACGAGAGCAAAGCATTGCGCAAGCCGCGAAGATACCAACAGGACATCACACCTGTGAGGCCAAGACTCGAATTCCATTCCTCTAGTAATGACCCCCCCCACACAGAGGTAATAACAAGTAGTCACCAGATCACGGTATCATACTGCTACTAGTTACTAGATACCCCTTAGGGGGAAGGGACTGTTAAGCGTTTCATCCACCGGCGGGAGGATTAAGCTGTCGGGCCATCTCAGCAAAATAGAAGCGAATTAGGTCTTCGGCTCTATTCAAGGGCACATCTTTGACGGTAACCGCATCCAGCATCTACAGCATCTACTGGCAACAAACACAGGTTTTGCTACAGCCTGTGCAACATTGAAAAACACACCATGAGGCTCCCTCGAGCTTTCAGAACACCGCGTATCAAAATTGGGGCCCACAAACTCGCGCCCATGTAATTAATAGTTGCAAGCCTCTGAAAGGGGACCCTATAGACCCCAAACCCTCAACAAAGAGCGCCTGGTCAGGCTCGAACTGGTGGAACCTGGCCAGCAAGTACTGAATGGGGTACATTGAGGTTCTTTAGGGGTTTAAGGGGATTTCATGATTTCATATGGGGTAATAAGGGAATGGAAAAGAAAATGGAAGCTACTACTCAGGGCTTTGAATTTAGGATGTTGATAGGAGGGTAGAGGCTTCGGGTCAGGGGCCTGTTGTTGAGGCTGTAGGTGCTTGGGATTAAAGATGAGGACTACCCTACAGATCAAAGGGGATCGTATTGAAGGTCCTTCCTAAAGATGAAACAAGAAACTGAATTTCAACCCCAAAACCCGCTTGACAGCTGGTGTAGATTGTGTTATTTATTGCTGGGAAATGGTTTCTGAGAGGGTTTCATGACCATGGCATACAGCCCCCAGTCCGTTCAAAGAAAACTGTTCAAGCTCCGGCTGATGGATAATTGTTCTCTTGGTCTACTTGTGGGGAATTGGGAGGTTGCGGGCTCTCGACCTGTATGAACAACGATTTCGTAGCGTTGAATGCCGCAAAATCTACATGGCTCCTGTGAAAAAAAGCAAGCAGTGGATGATGAAACGAGCTTTAGATTTCCCAGATTTGCAGGGGGGAAAATGCGACCCAGAACCCGCCCTCAAATCAATGGAATGTTCACCACGGGATCCGAAGACATCAGACGAGATGCTGGCCATCTATGCGGATCAGTGTATGAAACATAGCACTGCAGCCACCCGGTGACCGCTAGACAAAAGGCTATTGCAACTATTTTTGGACTTTTTGGTACCTACTTTCTTATAGACGGTTACTGGGTCGGTAGTATCCAAACTATGGCCTTCGATATTTCCAACAGCGCCACCACTCTCAGGCAGGGCTGCCTTGTGTGGACACGTCTTGCCCAACAAGGAGGTCCAGCGGCAGCAAATGCACCCCAGCACAGACTTCTGCCAGCTGTTTTGTTGACATGTTCAAATGGTTTTCCGTGGGTGAACAAAGAACACTTGAACAACTAATCAGGCTTATCCTAAGACTCCACAGATGTGTGTGTCATAACAGGATTTCCGTACTTGCAATTGCAAAAGCTGCTGTCCTGTTCGGGACATGGGCAGGACGTGACGAGCCACTCCGGCCCACCCCACAGGTATCCAGAGCTTCATCTTCGCTGCTGGCCTGGATGGCGCCGGGAGTCACTGCGGCTTGAAAACGGGCCGGGCTATGCCTTAGCGGGGCACAGCTTCAGACAATGGTTCCGGATGCCTTCGCTCTCATTTCAAGCACAGCTTTTGCCCCACAGCATGTGGCTCGATGGTGGCTACTTGCACATTGTCTCGTGTGACTCCTGTACTGAATCCTGTAGTAGGCCAATTCTGTGGCTAAGAGCAACTTCGCTTTGGATCCCCGCTTGGGCGTGCACCGGCATTGATCCACCTCTGCAAGGCCAAACTGCTGCCTAGGTCATGGAAGGTGCGTATTTAGCCCTGATTTGGGTTGCGACAGTCTCAAGGCTTGTAGCCAAGCTGCGTAAATCATCTGGCTGGCTGGTGATCAAGAAACCACCTTCACTGCTTCTCATCCGAACACAATGGATGCGCTAATGATATAGTGATTATTACAAGAGGTCAAGTTATGCCCATGTGCCAAAGAATGCTTTTGAGAGTGGGACCACAAGCTCACATCTCCACACCAGACCATACCGTCGGCTGTGCATGGCAAAGGGCTGCCAGAAGCAGAGCTGCCTTTTCGGGAGCTTCTTGGACATTGGCTCTTTCGTTGGTCTGCGGCACCATCAGCTGCTGGACCGAAGCCCAGAAAGTGCTGGTGAGTTCCCCCTATCTTCGGGTTTTGCTGAATATTGGTCATCACATGTTTGTGACACTGCATCTCGGAACGCGGACCAGCACTCTGGGACCAACGAAAACAAATAGCAGCACTCTTGTGGCTGCCCAATTAAATCCACGTTGTTTTGCTTCTGTCATACGAATTACAAGACACTGACTCGCTGCTTCGTCAGCTCGCTACAGGAAAACTGCAGAGTGGTCTTTTTCGTCCACTGCTCGTGACTTGACAGATGTGCTCTCAAAAAAACTACGTTTTCTGGCCTGGGATGTTAGGCATGTCCACATGTGGGGACACCAATCACCCTAACCGTGTTTGCGACAACAATCTTGACAATTTGAGTTAAACCGGAAAAGGAGGGAAATGCCTCTTGTCCTCCACCCTTGATTGGTCTTACTTAACCAGTCATTCCCCAACGCCGCCGCCGAGAGGCAGAAGGATCGAGCTGGTGGCACCAAAGGCAATTAAAGTGACAGAGTTCAAGACAGGACTCATAAGCCTTCTTGTCCCTCTTATACCGCAGGCCCTCGTCTCCTTGCGGTTTTGCCTGCCACTGCTGGTTTAGAATGTCCAGGCATTGATACATGTGGACCCACCTGTCTTCGCCGCTGATCGGGAACCATCGGTTGTCGTCGGGGGCATCAATGCAGATGCCGTGCCGACTCTTGATCTTTCCCGTCTGCTTGTCGGAATCCCAGTCCCAATGCTGGTTTTTTTGTTGTTCGTAGCATTTCCACGTTTTGATGATTCCTTCGTTCTTGTTCCTCTCCGCTGAATCCTCGAGTGAGCAGTGCAAGTTCGAGGCGCACTATTGAAGGGAAAACAGCAAGCACACAACACAACCAACACACACACACACACATGCTACAATGTTCTGACTCAGGCCGTTCCAGCAGTATGCTTGAGGCTTTGACACACACACACACCATATCTGAGAATCACTCCAAGAACCTTGCCATGAAAACAACCATCCTGACAGCCATGGTTCAAGGCATTTGCCGCCAGCATTCACCAGCAGACCCGAATATTTGTCATAAGCCTTAGCTTCTTCCAGGACAGTAAAAAGTCTGCCTGAGAAACTGCTGGACTGGGGATCTTATAAGACGCGCGTCCCACGTTAACCAGAATGCAGCTACATGACATCAATGAAGAAATGGAAGACTTGCTGAGGCACGGCATTTCCAAATTCAGCAGGCAGGCTAACATGCGATGGGTTGTGATGAAGAAAGCAGCAAAGATAAGCCAGTCATTACTCCGAAACGACAAAAATGTTGTTGAAACTAGCGTAGCGCACCCAGAGTTGATATCTGAAGTCAGGATCGCATTCCTCGCAGGCTGCTCTGAACAATAGTTGCAGAGCAGCACGTCGCTACATGCAAAATGCAAGCTCGAAAGTCAGAGCTGCTATAATCCCTGTGAGGGAGGCTGGCTAGTAATTAGTCTCCCGGTCCATGTCCCTGCCTCCAGGAAAACCTGGTCACCATCCACGGCACCTCTTTTGGCTGCCAAGCATCTGTTTTCCTTGGCCTTGCTCTGCAGAACGAAGTAAGTCTTGGGCTGACCTTGTGTATCCTCAGGGAAAAGTGACAGTTCGCCATTCATGTCACTCCGCCCTCAACGTCTGGCAAGCCAAGCTCCCGCGCCTTTCCTCTCGTTTGCACCAAGACCGTCTCGGCACTCTCGCACTCTTCCTGTACAAGATCGTCAACAAGCAGTCTAGCGATTTACGTTTAGGACCTATCAATAACAGCACTGGGCACTGGGGCACTCCTGCATGGGGGTAGCCACCATCTGCTCAACAGCTGTACTGGGTGTCTTGTTGTCACTGAGCACGCCGATGGCCAAGTGGCCGAGAAACAGCGGCACCAAGCGCCACATGTCCAGGCGCAGGCTGCAAGACCTTGTAATAGAGAAAACCTGCAAGCCTGGACGGGCCCTTGAGCCTGGGAACTGCCGATCTGACAGGTGCCATGTTGCAGCCTTCACTCGCACACCGCACTTCTCATGCAAGCGAATCAATAGCCACGCGCCCGCCGAACTGAAACAACTGCCATGAGAAGTTCCAGCAACAAGTCCCGGACGAGCCCAGCCCAGGGGCTCTTCTCTTTGTACGCTTCTCCCTGTGCACAACTCCAGCAAAACTCAAGGAGGCTGTTCAGGCATCTTGCGCAGGCTCGGCGGGGTGGCTACTCAGCAGGACGGCCTTTTCATCGAGGACGGTGCTCTCAAAGCCCCGCATCCCCCAGGCCTCGGACGCTGCTACAGTCGCTTTTTCACCACCACCTCGCCTTATCCTCGCGTGGGTGTGCACAAGCTTTGGAACTGTTTCTTCAAGTATCAAAACGGAAAGCCTGAAGCCTGGACGCAAATTAAGCTGGACCATGCTGGATCTCTTGTTTGCTTGAAGCTCGTCGCTTCTGCGATATGTCGCTCGTGTGCACGAAGACGCCCGCAGAAGTATCAGCAAAACGTGCGTAGCGTGAGGCTTGCTCACTCAGAGCTTCTCAGGATTTGGTGCGCTGGCGCCCACTTCAATTCCGGGGAGCTTAAGTAGCAATATGTCTGAAAAGGTTCAGCCTCAATGCACCTGAGGCTCCGGCCATCTCCGGCCATCACCCGGCCTCCGGAGTCATGCCGGAGGTCTGCCAGCCCATTCGCTGGCCTGCCGAGCTCCCATCATGAAGTGAAACCCATGTAGACTCACTTCGCGCAGCATTCTCATACGAATTACAGGAAAATCTAGAGGATGTGCTTCAGTTCAGTGGCTTGAGGCTCATTAAGATTCCTTAGCCCAGCATCTGCTCAGCCGACACGCACCTCACGGCAAAGTCTACAAAATCACAGAGAAATCATCGCGCTTGCAGTTTCTATGTAGAGAAGCCCTGGGCACATTATCTGATGAGTGGCAGGGAGAGATCCGCTCAATGTCTGTCCGTCAACCACTGGGCCTGGAACATGGTCCTGGCACGGCAAATGGCCACAACGGAAGCTACGGTGCGCGGCGCAAGCCAAGACAGCTAGAGGCATGCACATGTGCATGATCCTGCCAAAGCTAGTCTAGACGTAAAACGTCCAAAAACTGGTGGAACTCTGAAGAAACCGTAAAGTTCTGACTACTGCAGCAGGAGTGACTGGCCTCTTCAAGGTCCTTCAGACTTCTGCTCCAGAGCATACTGATATCGACATCCATTGCGATAATGACGTCAATTGACAGAATACTTAATCATGACACACGCCTTTTTCAATTTGCTTGAAGGCACCTTCTTTGGGCTGCCCACAGCCTCGGGCACTGAAAGCTGTGCCGCTGCCCAACACCACGGGCTCGGGGTTTTGCAGAGTTGAATCTGAAGCACTCTAGAGCCCAACTAAGCTTATCTCATCCAGGTTGAGTGGGACCGCAAATCAAGGCCCGTTTTGCGCTAGTGCCCAATCTTCTGAGATTTCCTCAAGCCTCAACAACAGTGCCAACACCCCTCGCGTGCTCGTGGTCATGGGCAGGAGTGCATTTGCTTCCTTCCTTGCTCCTTCCACGATGTCTTCTATTCAAACAAAATATCTTGCATTCTGCAACACCTTCATTCTTTTCTGAGCGGTGCCGAAGAAGCTCCAGGAGTGGGTCGTTAGCAAAATCCTTCTCAGGACATAGGGGGAAGAAAGACGGGCCCGCCCTGGTCACTCATCGTCAGAAGAGCCTTAGCTCCCAGAAAAAACACGTGGCTGCACACCATATCTCGCCTCATCCGCACAGCGCATTGCAACTACCATACCTGCCTATCATCTCGAAGGCTACCTGAGGTGCCCTGTACTGCAACTTTAAACATTTTGGCAACACTTTAGGCACCTACATGGTGGTACACGCCTGCACTGCCACCCTGAGCTGAGGGCCGTAGCGGTTCATGTCCAGCAGCCGCTGACCTGGCAAACACAGTTGCTCATTCATGGCAAGATGGGGGCCTACAAAACGTTCAAATTGAGGCTTCTGGCTGATGATTCGGCTCAGGAAAACTAAAAGCCGTGCTCATCACGCAGCCCAACAATGATCATCAGGAGGATTAGAATGAGGATGAGGAGGAGAAGGATGAGGATGACAACAGAGATGATCAGAGCAAGTACTGGGAGTGCTAGATAGTGTATACAGCAACAGCGCTGGTGCTGGCAGTAGCCATATCAATGGTCTTGTTTGAAGGACTGACCCCGGACTGTGAAGGTTCCAAAAAAGTTGCAGAAGAACATGCTGCAACAGCAGCAGCCGCTGACCAACTATTCGTGGCAGGCACTCTCCTATCAATGTTTCCTGCCACTGTCTGCTGCTAAAGGGAGGTCCATATAGATGTCCCACTTTCAGCCCCATGTTTAGTCAACCTTCAGAATGTAAGGGGGCATCCCCCAATACTGCTGACAGCTTCCTCGTTAGTCCTAAACAATCAGGCCCAGCACTGTCCCAGCTATGGGCTGTGGGCACCAAATTATGGTCCCCTTAGTGGATGCCCTATATATGAGGGGCATATTACAACGGGGACCCAAGAAGGAAGCATTTGTTTGGCAACTACCACATAGCATACCATGAATATGTAACGCGTCTTGTAAGGGCATCATATCTCTGAAGAGTACCAGAACGAGTTTTTGGGATCATGTGAGCTGCAGCCATACTTGCAATGCCAGATACCAGCATTACCATTTTCTCCCTGAGATTTTGACTTCACTGCACAAGCAAATATAACCAACTAGCCATTGTATGGATACATATGCAGACAATTGTGCATGTACGTACATATATATATATACATGGGCAAATCCAGAATCTATGACCTGTGATCCAAACTCCTGGTATCCTCCTTAATATCCCCTAGAATACTCCCCTATTTAATCCCCTATATAACCCCCTTTAAGGAGTTTAGATTATGGCTCACATGGGTCCATGGCGGAGGGTGCTTCAAGATTCATGGCTTTCAGAGTTTAGGGTCTGGAGTGCCAGTAGGG